CTCTCTGATTGGTTGACGCTGCGCGTCGAGCTGCAAAAGTTCAGATTTCCCAACTTCAGCGATTTGGACGATTTGGACGATCTGAGCGTCCAAATCGTTCAAATCGCGCTGCTCTAATCGCGCTTGAGGCGCCGCAGAACTTCCCGACGTTGCTTGAAGCGCGTCCACCATAGACTTTGCATGTAAACCTGCTGCTCCTGACGCTGAAATCGCGTTTGGTGTGAACGCACCATTATATAAATCCATTTTATTACTTTTTGTCTTATTTTATTTTTTTGGCTGCTGTATCAAGTACAAAGTGTCATTCTGAGTAAGCCCCACTCAGGTACCTGCATCCATAAGAGCAAGACTGCCTCCACAAGCAGAAGCCATTGAGGAGGATCCTGTGAGGAGGAACAAAAACAGCTAAACTGATAGGTACGGCAAATGTTTACAGCATTTTAATTTCACAAATGGCCTCACAACACTGACCGTTTGACTCCAGCACCTCCGCTGTGACTCTGATGGTGAAGGGAAACTCTTTAGGAACGACCGGCCTCAGAGCCTTCTCAGCCAGAGCGCCTGCAAACCAACAACCATCACGCCCTCTTACAGTCTGTGTCGCTCACAGATAAAGAATACGAGTAAAAGACAATAAAACAAACAAACCGTGTCCGAGCTCTCTCCTGTTGAGGCCTCCCATCCTGCCAGTCTCATTGGTTGCATATGGAGGAAACTGAAAACAAAAACACAATCGTTGGTGAAAGGATTTTACAATCGAAACCAGAAATGTTTTTAACACCTTTTTTTAGGAATCATTTTACTCACCTCATAATGAAGCATAAAGTTTTTGTCCTTAATGCCACTGCAGAAAAAACCCAAAGACAAATCCCTGCATGAACTGACTGTTATACAGGCTTATTAAAAGGTATGTGTGAAAACAGGGGAAAGTTCTATAAAATTACAAATACTGAGAAATTTCATCGAGTGTGTAAATAACCTATTTCTGTACGTTTATTTTATCATTTTAACCTATTTTTGTCCTGTACAGCCCTTTGGTTACCCTGGTGGTTTTTAAAATGTGATATAGAAATAAAGTTGACTGATTTTTATAGGTAGTCCTGCTTCTGATACATTTTAATGTCATCTTATCTGTTAGGAGATGCTCAAATGTTAAATTTGATCTTTTGAACATACTCAAAATGTGTTTTCTTCTTTTCATCAACAAATTTTTAGCTTTAGTCTCATTTTTATTTTTAAATCTGCTGTTGGGTTAAAAGTTAAACTATGATTAATAATAATTTAAAGTTTTATCATAGAATATTTACTAATAGTTGCTAATTTTGTACCATTTTATTTTCTCTGTTCTGATTTCACAGATGCAAATAAAAGCTACAAATTCGAACAAAAATGTTGCAAATGAGTATTTTCCCTGATGATTGCCCATTTACAGAAATAATGAAGACAATCCATCTGAAATGAAATAATAAATAAATTTTTTAAAAAACAGCGGTACCTGAGAGCTGTGGTGATAATATCTGTTTTGACACTGGACTCCATAGAGTCAAAGGTGACACTGCACAGCACCTACAGGAACACAAGAGATCAAAACCCAAGATTTTATAGTAACAAAACAAACTCAGAACACATTTAAATGTTCACTACAGAATCACACAACTTTCACGTTTATCATCATTTAAGTCACATCTCTTTATTTCAGGCAAAGTGAACCAAACTTGTTTGTTTTTCATTTAAAACAGTAGGTTTATTTATTTATTTATTTTACACACCTGCGTTTGTCCTCTCTGAAACAGAGCTGAGCCGTGGAGCGGCTTAAAGAGGTCAACGTCGCAGGAAATGTTCCTCAGAGCCGTCAGTGCTCTCCCATCACACCTTTAAAGTGAACAGAAAACAACTTTTCCAAACCTCTCGAACGGATACGAGTTAAAAGAATATTCAGTGCAGTCACATCTCACCTCCTGTACTCGTTAAGCACTAAATTACGGAAAATCTCTTTGGTCACAACGTTGAACGATTCAATGATTTCAAAGGGCTCGGCTTGAGGGAAATTTTCTAAAAACACAAAAATGAACACTTTTCAGATTACAGAAAAAAATGTTTAATTTGAAGAAGACAGCTATGAAAGATAAAAGCTATTTACCTTTTAAGTTTTCTTCTGCTTCTAGTCGAATTTTGTTGATCGCTTCATCTCTCGAAATCTAATGCAAAGTTAGAACAAGATGATTATTGTTGATGAAAATGTGACAATTTTCTGAAACACACAAAGCATTTTGAGTGGTCCGATTTTTAGTTGTACCTTATCGTGTGTGATATCTGTGAAAACAGCATAAATTTTTTCTGATAAAGTTCTACAACAAAAACAAACAAACAAACATTACATTAGTTATATGATCATTTTGCCATCAAGTTTTCCAATAAATCTAATTCCTTACTTCCGGGTGTGCTCCAGCATTTCAGTCGGGGCTAAGAACGTCTTGGCCGGCGTGCGTTTGGTTACATTCTGCTCCCGCGCCAGCCGCTGGATGCCCTTTATGATCTGCTGGGAGTGTTTGACTCCCATCTTCACGGCGTGGCAGAAGTCCTGCTGCAGCACGTTCTCGGCAGACGCCTCGATCATCACTGGCAGGCACAGAAATTATGTTATTGATAAACAGGAAGAAGAGGAACTGATTAGAAACCTGGGAAGATGGTAACTGCAGGTTTTCAAAATAAAACAAAGCTACTTGGCTTATAAAAAAAAGAAAACAATTGTGTAGGTCTTCTGGACGGGTTCTTCTCTAATGAAACGTTTCGTCTCTCCTCCAAGAGACTTCTTCAGTCTGAGAGTTTCAGGCAAAATTCAGTGTGGCAGTGTGGTTATCCTGACTGGGCTTTCCTGAAAGCAGACAGGAAACACAGACAGGACTCCATGCAACCTTCAGGTGAAAATGAAGACCCCAAACCCAGACCCAAACCAGTCGTTATTCCGTATGTTGCGGGTGTTTCGGAGAAACTGAGACGTTTATTTTCTAAACATGATATCCCAGTGGCTTTCAAACCCCAAAACACATTACGGCAAAGGCTGGTTCACCCCAAAGATCCGGTGCCCCGGCACAAACAGAGCAATGTTGTATATGCTGTTAAGTGCCAGGAGGACTGCGACCAGCTATACATCGGGGAAACAAAGCAGCCACTGTTCAAAAGAATGTCCCAACACAGACGAGCTACATCTAATGGCCAGAACTCAGCAGTTTTCACTCATTTACAGGCCTGCGGTCACTCTTTCAGAGATGAGGATGTTCTCATTCTTGATAAGAGAGGAACGTTGGTTTGAGAGATGAGTAAAAGAAGCCATTTTTGTAAAGAAAGATCATCCATCATTAAACAGAGGTGGAGGCCTCCGTTTTCAGTTGTCCCCCTCCTACAGTGCGGCCATTGCCAGTAAAACTCCACCCCCTGTTAACAATAGGTGTTAATTAGGTGTCAACGATAGCCATGTGATGTGAGTATCAGTCACATGGAGGCAGKGCTTAAAAGCCTGAATTTWGCCTGAAACTCTCAGACTGAAGAAGTCTCTTGGAGGAGAGACGAAACGTTTCATTAGAGAAGAACCCGTCCAGAAGACCTATACAATTGTTTTCTTTTTTATTTTTTACCTGGATTACTGAGATGCATCAGGACATACTTGGCTTATACATAAAGCTAATCAACAAATTAATATTTTTGGGACCCGGATCTTTTTTCTTCCTTGTACTGGAATTTGATTTAATAAAGCGCACAAAGATCTGTGAGACTGTACAAGAACAGGGAGCAGGTGCAGCTAGCATGAAAATGCTAATGATTCTGTTAAATTTATTATAAATATTTAGGTGGTGAGAAACTTAAAAATGTAATACTGATCCTTCAGGATTAACCGCTGATTTCTTCATCAAAATAAATTATTATTGCTATTTTTTGCTGTATGTTTTACCTAAAATTATGGCATGTCAACTATGTATGTCAAAGTCTTAAAAAACAAAATAAAATCAGCTAAACAGTTAAAATAAACACATCATGATTTGAGTCCAAAAAGGTCCTGTTTGTTAGGTTGGAACTGATTAAATTAACAACTTGATCTGATCATATTTAGTGTGATGATCTCATGATGACAAAGAAAAAAAAAAGAAGTGGAGTATAACAGTGTTTGCATCCTTACCCACTTGACTGCTGGGAGCTCCAGACACGATCAGGTTTAAAGTGCTGGAGGCCATCTCTGCCCTCGTTGGGTTGACCAGCAGCTCTCCATTAACCATGCCAACTCGCACGGCACCTGAAAACACGCAAACAATCCAAGACATGGATGAAAATAAATGTACTGTACTGTAACCACAAGGACTGGAACAGAACTAAATTAGCTGTACACTCCTCACCTATGGGGCCATCCCAGGGGATGTCAGACAGAGCCAGAGCAGCAGAGGCTTTGATGCAAGAAAATATTATGTTAAGGAAAAATTTTTAATAGAACTGTTAAAAACCGTGAATGATTGAGGTTTACTCCTACCTGCGTTAATAGCAAGCACATCTGGATCATTGACACCGTCCACTGCAAGCAAGTTACAAAGGACCTTTTGAAGAGATGAAAATAGTTTTATATCAAACCATTAGCTCCGTTTAAATGCAAAGTAAAATTACATTAAAATAGCTTTAAACCAAACTAACCTGCGTGTCATAAAAGTAACCGGCAGGGAAAAGGGGTCTAATCGACCGATCTGATCAACAGAAACATGAAAGAGCTGGTTAAAGATGACTAAAAGTGGAGAATCAAAGCTGCACATGTAAAAAAAGCCACATTTAGCTGGTCTTACCGATGAGTCTGCTGGTGAGGATCTCATTGTCGGTGGTGCCCAGCTCTCGCCTGATATAGTTGGTGGGGATTCGACCTGCAGCAGCTGCTTTCTGCCTATAGTCCACCTGTCCAACAAAGACAACGTCCACTCACAAGACAACTTCACATCGTCCACACTCTCAGATTACATTCACTTGTAAAATAACCAGTGACAAATGAGTGCAATGTGTTCGCAGCTCCAGAAGCTTACCACAAGTGGCATGAACTGAGATGGAGAAGGTTTAGTCTTGCTTACAGCCGTCACCATCACTGAGGTGTCTCCCAACTAAAATGATGGGGAAGTGGAAGTGGTTACAATCAAAACAAAAGTATAGAATACAGAAAAACCTGTGTGATGTCATTTTATTCTGAAAGGAACAAAGAGAGACGCATAAAACAACTTTTTGGTACCTGAACAACAGCAGCTCCATCAGCAAATCTGGCAAACTTCCCCGAAGAGATTTCAAGTTTCCTTCACAAACAAAACAAATGTTGTTGTTTTTTAGAGTGTTAAAGGGATCCACGATTAGTTGTAACATTAAACTTTATTTGATAAACATTTATTTTAAATGTAAAATAAAAACTGTAAAAATACTGTAGGTTGATTAGATTTGTAAATTTTTAAAAATATATTTTAACACGGACGGACCCATTTTATTTACACGCAAAGCATTCTGGGTAAATGATGACATCAACTAGGTCTAGGGTGACCAGATGTCCCGATTTGTGCGGGACTGTCAAGCATTTTTCACTCTTGTCCGGCAAATTGAAATAATGTCGCGCATTTGACGGGGTCAAATTATGAGAAGTAAAAAACAAATACTTGTGAGGCGCGTGGGTGTGACGGAGGGAGCAGCATTCTCGCTCGGATACGGCGGAAGCGCACGAGCCGCTGAAGTCCGCTTTGGTCCGCCGGCTGAGCCGTGCGGCTTCTGCGTTTACAGTTTCGCACGAGGAGGAGCGCGGACTCCGCGGAGCTCAACATGCACTGGCTGCCTAGTCTGCTGCTGCTGTGGTGGTCAATAATGTAGACTTATCACTGGGAACGAGGCTTGAACTTGTACTAAAGTGAAAAATATATTGCTATTTCTGTGAACTGCACAAGCTTCACACAGCTGACACGATTCGGCGAAAAGAATGAGTCATGAAAGTCATGAAAATTTAGTTGTAAATCTTTTTGTGATCTTTCCACATTTGAGTGTTTATCAGACAAGTCACAGCTTAGGCAGAGCAGAAGCTGCTTCTTTCATGAAAAGTTTCTTGCAAGAAAAGTTCATTATTTCAACTTGTTCTGTTAAACTTAAAGGAGTTACTTAAAAATAATTACTTTTTTTAACTTGAATTATTTCATTGTTTTTGCACTAACAGAGATCAATTGATGTAATGTGAAACCTGCAATAAATTAAAATTTATGATGACATCATAATACTGGTGATGTGTCCCACATTATCCCTCGTAAGCACCATTTTTGTCCCGCATTTGGTTTCTTGGGATCTGGTCACCCTAACTAGGTCATCGGTGCGAGGCTGCTAGGGAGCTTAAACCACCCTGAAGGTTAATCTTGGACAATATCTGATGATCGACTCTTTTAAATAAAACCAGAGAGCGTTGACAGAGAGGAGAAGGTAGAAATGACCCAGCCTGGAACTGAAAATATGGATGGAGGACAACAGAGCTGCTTCATGGAAGAAGAAACTCAGCTGAGCCTGTTAGCCTATGCGCTAGTGCCGACACTATATTGCCTTATATGTATTAGCTCGGCGCTAGTGCGACAAACAAGCTAAAGTGAGGTCCTCCATCCATATTTTCAGTTGCAGACTGAGACATTTTTGTGTTCCCCTCTCTGTCATGTGGATGGAGGACCTCAGTGATGAGAGGAGAATGTGTAACGCTGAGCTAATACATATATGGTGATTGCATCAGGGCTAACGCTAAAGCTAACTGGCTAAAGCAGCTCTGTTGTCCTCCATCCATATTTTCAGTTACAGGCTGAGTCATTTCTACCTTCTCCTCTCTGTCAACGCTCTCTGGTTTCATTTAAAAGAGTCGATCATCAGATATTGTCCAAGATTAACCTTCAGGGTGGATGTAGCTCGCTAGCAGCATCACGCTGATGACCTAGTTGATGTCATAATTTACCCAGAATGCTTTGCTTGTAAATAAAATGGCCCCGTCCATGTAATATATTTTTAAACTTTTAGTTTAAAAATTATAAAAACTGAACATCCTACAGTATTTTACAGTCTTTATTTTACAGTTACAACATATGTTTATTAAATAAAGTCTAATGTTACAACTAATCGGGGAGCCCTTTAAACCACAGCTGCGCATCTTACAGGATAAACCATTAAATGTAAAAATCCCGGTCAGGGTGTATGTAAGATAAGTCATCTCACTTCTCTCCGAGGTCCACCTCCACGCGCCGCAGGTTTGTGTTTCTGCTGTAAACACTCTGGTGACACGGACGCACGTGAAGGCGGGACACCGAGCGGCCCAGTCGGAGAAAAGACGTCATTTTTAACCAACATAAAACAAGAGAAACAGCTCTGCCTTCAGTTAAACCAGGTGCAGTTCACAAATGGACGAGACCTTCCATGACTTATCACATGTACGGAAATACGTCCCAATGAAGCAGTCTCTGATTGGTCCGATAGACGATAGTGTGTAATCACGAAACCCCCTCGGTGTTCAACCATCGACACATGCTTACAGTAGTTCCGCTCAAGGATAAATGTCACGATGAGGACAAAATTTAAAATGTTAACCAGCGTGACAACTAAATTCAAGGTTATATTTTTACCTGAGCAATTTACTAACTGGGATTATTCTGAAAGATAGCATAGAATATATGTGAAACACTTTAATTTCCTTTAAATTGTAACTACTGTAGTCATTTAACAAAATGACAAAGGGGTTTCATTCATCCTTAAAAAATTCACATTTGTTGGCAGTTTATTTACAATTTAAATAAAAAAAGTTTCGTTCTTTTTAAAAATTACTTTATTAT